ATATATTTATATTCATACTTGTACATAGTAATTAAATGTTTGCTTAACCTTGTTTTGCTTTGTTGTCTATTTCTGAACGTTGAGAGCAACAGAAAAACCAGAGTCAAAGTCCATGTATGTGTACGCACACATGGCCAATAAAGCTGATTCTGATTCTGAAGTGGAAACATTTACAACTCCCACAGAACCCTCCGCATCATCCCACAGCTTTCCATTTATTCAAGGGGGGGACTGTGCAAATGTTTTAGGCACGGAAAATAAAGTGAGACAATTAGTCCCATGATTTATCATTTATGGTCATTCAAAGTGCAGTCATTAGACAAAACCCTACTCTTTAACTCTCAATCAGCAGCAGTTCTTCTCAGTTCACCTGCACACAATGTTTTAAGGTTCTTGTTGAGTAGTTTGTAAGTCTGAACACAGTTTTATAGGGCGTTCACTGTAAAAGGAGAAATACTCTTGTCTGTCCGTGGTGTTGGAAATGAGTTCAAATGAAAGCCCTTTTGTTTAGTTTAGTTTTTTCCTGCTTTGCTACATTGTGATGAGCTCCAGTGTCATCATATCTGGATTTTTTGTCGTCACTGATCAGTGGTGTGTCACATGGAGAGACGTTTGTGTGTGTGTGTGTGTGTGTTTGAAGTTGTATATGTATGTGAGAGGTTGTGTGTGTGTACCTGTCATTAAGATACCTGTATTAATCATGGTTCACAATATCTGAGCCATGCAATCAAAATGTAAAAAAAACTTCTATGTGAATTGACGTGTTTTCATGTGTTATCAAACTGATGAAGAGCTTGTCTTCGTGTGCTTTTATTTTGTCTTTCCGCAGTGTGTTGTGCTCTCAGGGCCACTACTTTCAATTCACTGTCCAATAATGAACAGGAGGGAACTTAGTTTCCACTGGGACTTTGTGTTAGAAAGGTTCATGATCATTTTGAAGGGTGCGGTCAGTTGATTTGTGTTGTCCAACACAAAATAACAGAAACACCTCGAAGTCGAATCGACAGATCGAAATCAGATTTGATACAACCAGAACATGAGTGGGACGGATATCGTGTCTGTGAGTGTGTGGATATCCTGTCACAGTCACAGTAGGAACACAGCAGAACAAGTTCAGCCCCAGTGACAGTATGTGAAATCCTCTAATATGAGTTGGGGATAAGATATGAGTGAGTGTAATGAGTGAGGAGCGAGGGGGAGGAAACCTCGGTGCTGTGGTCCTCCCCTCCTGCTGCCTGGGTATAAGCCCGCAGGTCGGCTGAGGTACGTCCCCACAGACAGGATGCACTCCACGTACTGCTCCTCTGCCAGACCATCGACACTCACAGTAAGACCTGCTTTCACTTCACTTGTAACTGTAGACCAGGACTGGCAGGAAGTTAATGATGCCGTGTTGTGATTCTGATCCTTCTCTTCTCTGTGTTTACACTGTTGAAACTTCATGTCATGACACTATTATGTCTTATCCTCTCATTTCCCAAGAACCAACTGATTTGTAACTTAACCTTCACTTGTTGTCAGTAGGATTTAATCACGGGAAACTGAGAAAATGTTATTTGGTTAATTTTCCTGCTGCACAGCAGAACGGCTGAACTCTTAACGGGTGCAGTGTCCAATCTGAACCTGTCTGTTTGTAATGTTCTGTTCTTTTGTCCTGTGTTAAAGCTCTGCAGCTACTTCAGAATGATATACTGTCACTTTTTATTGTTTCTGTGCTGGACATTGTGTGCAGAGCTTGTTATAAACAGTCTTTGGTGCCGAGTGAAGTTAGAAAACTCCTACCTGGTTTATCTGCAGTGAAGATTTTATAGTCAATGTTTTTCTATAAAATGAAACTGAATTAGCTTTATTTCTGTTCGTGTGTTTGGCTTTTTATATAAGATTGAATGATTTACTCAACATGTGTTCATTTTCCATTCATTGAATGTCGGTTATTTCAGAGGTCTTTTACGCAAAGGACACAGTCTTCAGACCCAAGTTCACAGCTTTTCAAAATGAAAGATTAACTTTAAATTGTGCTTTTACTTTGAAATGACTCTACGAATGATGCTACTATGACGGAGATCAGCACTGGTGACACCTGTATGTCTGTGTCAGTCTGACATCGTAAACTAAAATAATCAGATGATCAACATGATGAGGTGGGTCAGATATTATTGCCAGTGACTGACCGCAGCTGTACTTTATCAGAGGACATAGAAGAAGACATGTTCAACTCTGTTCACAGACCGAAGGCACACTGCTATAGAGTGCTGGTTGTTTGTTTATTCAATTCAAAAGCAGACAGACAGTCAAACAGACAGACAGGCAGACAGACAGTCAGACAGGCAGACAGACAGTCAGACAGGCAGACAGACAGTCAGACAGGCAGACAGACAGTCAGACAGACAGATAGTCAGACAGACAGATAGTCAGTAAGGTGTTGGAATTAGTTGATAGATTGACCAATATACAACCCAGTGATCACTTAATATGCTAATGAGAAGGTGGGACATTTGTGAGACTGATTCATTAGTTATTTTGTTGAATTAATCGTTCATATATTTGATTAGAAAATTATTTGGGTGGCAATTTATCATTTTCCTCTATTTATTAAAACATGTATTGTTATAATTATGTTTGACAGGACAGAGAGTGGATTCATGCTGTCAACCACACCTCGCTGTCCTTAATGTATTGAAACATCTATGTTTTGAGTCCACTGAGAGCTTGACAAATCACAACTTGACATCCGTTACACGTGAAGATGCGTTCATGACAATATTTTCAGGATCATTGGCAAAAATCTGAGACTCCTCTTTCACTCATTGCAATATTTATTGTACATGCATGATTTCATTCATAAAGGGCAGGGCCAGGGTTTTAGAAAAGCTGGGGTCAAAGAGAAGAAGCTCTAGGAAAGTCATAATGACCACATGAATTTGTAGATTGTAGATTTCGTTGCAGACGGTGGATAAGTAGGGATGATAACCTAAAATAAAATAAAGGTTCTGGCTGATTTTAACCAGGAAAGTTAAGGTCGATGGTTGGCACCTCAAACTGTTGCACTAGGGCACCTTGAATACATGAATTCAATATGGTATGTTGCAGATTTTGTATTGAAGAGTTCGCTCCAACAACAAGTCCAAAGATACCATGATGACTGACAAACTGCACAGATATGTTTTGTAATTAAGTTTCTCTTCTCATCTTCAGGTGTTGTGTGTGCAGATCATGTGTCTGGCAGGCTGGCCCCTGTCCTCAGAGGCAACCAGACTCCGCTGTGGTTCGGATCTCCTCAGTGACCTCATATTTGTGTGTGGTGATCGTGGGATATATTTAGGTAAGTCTATCTTCACCTTATCCACTATCTATCTAATGTCACCAAAAGAAGCTACTGAGGAGATTTCGACTTTTCTAGTTGACAAGGGTAAAGTTGTTGCTTTATTGTGTTGGGCGTGGAAAGGTCAGGTGTCTTTTGGACAGTTTATAAAATAATCTTCCAGTAGTATCTAAATGAATTTGGGTTCTGGTTCTTGTAACCATAATCAGGATATGATATGAAACAGAACAAAGATCATCATGCATATCCCTGTCTGTGATTATCAATGCAGGGCATTTCACAGTGTCACAGTCTGTCCCTGTTATTTCTGTACTGCAGTGCAGGTGTAAACAGTATCAGACTTTTAACGGAGACATATATGAATTTCAGCTTTTTCAAATCCAGTTATTAATTTAAATCTAATTTCAATATTTTGTCTTAATGATTTAACAGTTGAAGCCTGCATTAATACTTGGGAGATGTTTTCAGATCTGTATTCAGAAGACATTAAATACTCTCTTATAATGTTACATTAGTGTCTAATAGTATTTTATAAGAGAGGATGTCAGTGTGGGTTTGTTGCAGCACAGTCTGGTCTGGAGAGGGACACTTGTATCTCACCTTTAAAAAAGTGTTCAGTAGCAGTGCAGAACCTAGAAACGTCTGCACCACACACAGCGTCCATGTAAACATTCTGTCCTGCTGCAGAATCACTTAGGGTCTGATCAGACACTGATACTGTGTCTCTGGTAAGAATCCAGACACAAACAGTCTTCCACAGTACTGTGGATATGAAAACAGGCAGACATTTGATAGGTTTACTGGTTGTATACTGACTATCTGTCAGTTGATCGATTGCAAATGTGTTTAGAGAGTCACGTTACTTGATCACTTTATCCAAACCGCATTTGACAAAATAAACTTTTCTGGAGTTCTATCAAGTTGGATTAACAACCTCTGTTTAGTCATCTACTAATTCCAGAAATCTGAACAGAGTCTGTCTGACTGTGGAAGGCATATTATCTGCTATTATTTTGCTAATTAGATTATTTTTATTTTACCATGTTGGACAGACCGACATTCAACGGTCGTGACATCATAGAATCACTTCCTCTTGAGTAATTTGTCCACCAAGTAAAAACACAACAAATGGTTTGTCGCTGTAATGCTTTCATAATAAGAAGGATTACAGAGCTTTTATTTTGATAAGTTGTTGATGTTGCTGGCTGAGCAGACCTCTGAAACAGCTGACGTGTAATGTATGGAAAATAAAAACAGTTAAGTAAATTGTTAAAAATGATACATAAACCAAACATTTGAACAGTAATCTAGCAAATTTAGTTTCATTTGATATAATATATTGTATAAAATTGGTGGAAAAAAGAAAAAGAGTCCCACAAGAGCTTTTATGCAGATATGAGGATGAACACAAAGTTTTCTAACTTCCCTCTGCACCACAGACTGTTAATAAAAAGCTGTGCACACAACGTCCAGCACACAAACAATAAACAGTGACAGTACATATGTTGTCGATCATTCAGTCATGACAGTACCTGATTCAATACAATAGTAGGGTTTTTAATTACACATTATGGTCCAATACTCAATGGAGATTTTTATCAATATAAAAAATACCAATGGGATAAAATATTATCGGGGTTATTCCACCCTCTGTGCAACACTTTCTCCAGCAGAGGTGTGTAATAACACAGATATGGTCATGGTCATCGTGTCCACAGTTAAACATTGTAGTTAATCTGAGCACGTTATCAGCTCCACGACAACAAATCATGCCCTGTCTATGTATTTGTATTAAATAAGCCTAGGCCTCAGCAGTACACTAATATACTCTGATTGACTGTACTATACAATAAGAGATAAAAACATGTGGCATGTGGATGAGCTGGCTGCTGCAGCATGTTGGAGTAACAGAGGCCAAACACTTCACAGCAGAGCTTATTTGGTGAAGCGTCTTGAACAGGTCATTATTGTGAGATTATAATTTTTCCCACAGCACCAATAGAGTCCCCAACAGGCCCTTTCACCTGATTACCTTTCCCCTGTTCTGACCAAGGCCACCCTCTCCATCTGCTATCAGAGTGGTGGCAGTCCACCAAAACGGGTAGCGCGCTAACCAGAACACTGTGCCTCGGCGTGTGATAGCTTTATTGTTAAAACACTTGTTATCTGAGACGGGTCCAGCTTTCACACTTACAAAAAAGAAGAGCGCACAACACTTCAGAGTGGGCCCATGTACATTACATTTGATGTTGTTGTGTTCTCCGGGAGGGTTTTACCCCATTTCAAACACATTTAAAAAAAATTTAAAGTCATTAGAGGTTTTGGTTCCTGTCTGTCTAGCATGTGTTGAAGTGCTTTACTAGTTAATTGAAAACTGACCTGCTGGTGGCACTGGATGAAATGCTAAAGCAGTACCAAGCTACTATATACAATATATTATCAGGCTAATCTAAAAAAAGAAGGGTCAAAGCCAAACAATGACAATGTGCAGGTGAATTTAAAGAAGACAGGATATTCATGTTCCCCACAACCGTCTCTATCAGAACAACAACCTGTAATTGAATGGCTGGAAGATACCGCAGCTTGACATGAGTTGCCTTGTTTACCTCTGCAGGTAAAGGTACGTGGTCTGGTTACGGTGGTCGGCCCAGAGGGAAGGGGATAGTCGATCAGTGCTGCCGAACAGGGGGCTGTGACCTCCAGCATCTGGAGAAGTACTGTGCCAAACCAAAGAGCCAGGAACTTACCACCGCTGGGCCAGCCACAACCACAACGGCACAAACCACGACACAGCAAGATATGGTAAGAACTATTTAATAAAAAGTAATTCCCCGAAATGTATACACAGCTTTGAAATGCACTTGATAGGACGGCTGTGGCTGAGGGGTAGAGTGGTCGTTCTCCAACCAGGGGGTCAGCAATTCAATCCCCAATCTTCCCAATCTGCATGCCAAAGTGTCCTTGAGCAAGATGCTGAACCCCAAATTGCCTCATAGAACAAAAAAGTGCTGCTAATAGATGCACTGTATGAATGCGTGTGTGAATGGGTGAATGGCAAACTGTAGTGTAAAGCACTTTGAGTGGTCAAGACCAGGAAATGTTCTATATAAATACAAACCATTTACCATAGTTTTACAATCAGACCAATCAAAAACGAATCACTGGAACGAGTGCAGGGGTACAGTCCTTTTCAACTTACGACCACATGTTCGATGTCATGACAACTAAAGCAGAAGTAATGTTGTCGTGCTCCACGGCAGTTTGCAGTGAAACACAGTGTATAAAGCAACGACCGCCGCAAAAACCCCAAATCTGAGAATGAGCGCAGAACCCATTCTCACAAAGAAATTGGCCCACGTACACCACGACAAATACATTTTAACAAATTTAACGTAAAAATAATGTCTTCAATACCACAGACAAAAGCAAGAAATACACTTTAACTAAAGTGACATCCCTGATAAGCTCTCGTGGAACAGTGCAGGTCCCACAGAGGGCCAAGGTTTCCCTGCTACCTCCGAGCTCCATGTCCTTGAGTCAACTCATTTTTTTGTCCTGTCTTTGTTTTGCAGGCACAGCAGTTCGAAGCAGTATTTCACAAGAAACTTTTAGAGCACCTGGGCACTCCCGACAGTCCAAAGAGGGAAGCGTACAGAAAGAGAAAACAGCCCCAAAGGAAAAACAAAGTTTCCTCATCAAAAAGGAGGATTAAACCAGCACATCCAACAGGCCTCCCTCACCCTGTGACAGAGCGATGAGACTCAACTCTTGACCTCTGACCTCATGTAGATATGCATATTTATAGTTACCGGATCGGAATCAGAGGATGAAAGTTCATCGAGACGAAACAGACAGGAGACGAGGAGTAACGACGTGAGAACATTGAAAATGTTTACGACAAAGCAGGGCAGCAAAACATTCCCCATCACTGGCCTCATGCAAATTCAAATTTTAAGTCAATACATTATATCCCACACATTTTCTCCTGGACAATAATGTGTTTTCATTTCAGTTGTTTAGGTTAAACAGTCTTTGTCCTACATTAATATGACATGATTCTCAGTTTGATTTGCACAGATACAGCCTTACAGAAACCTTTTGCTTTTATACTTTGAGTACATTTCAATACTTTTACACTTTAACTTCAGTAAAGAGGTTGAACTATGCTCTTATCTTTACTTGAGTCATTTTCAACGAAGGCTGTCTGTCTGTGGTCTGAATGATGATGTTAGTTTGTCATGAACCTGGTCAAACCTTTCTACTGTCTGAGACGAACCCGTCCCTCCTGCCTGCATCTCTGTACCTGCAGACAGTTACTATACAGCAGCAGAGGACAGATACTGACTCATGTCTCATGTAACATTATTTAGTTGTTGTGTCAGATTCTCCAAATCATGTTTTACACAGTGAATATGTTGTACTGGAGCTTCCACAGTAACATTTATACGATTCATATATTTCTCCACATCATATCTGTAGTTCATCTTGTCACTGAATCCTTTTCTCCTCTGTGTGAAGATTCATTCTTTGTTTTGGAATTCCTCATTTTCATTTAAATTATTCACTGCATGTTAATAATCATGCAGTTGCTTTGTGAGCCACTGCAGCAAATGACGTTTCCTTGTTAGTCAGTTTCACATGTATATAAAATCTAGGATAGTCTGGGATGCTTATCAGTTATATACATTTATTACATCTGTTCACATGCATTGGTCCTTTTGTACTTTTTCACGGTACTTTGACGGAGTGAAGTCATTAGCAGGGCAGAATGTTCTAATGTTTGAGTATTTATTAAATGGTTCTTATTGAACTTGTCATTACTACTTCAGTGGTTTCCTCTGTCTGTAATTATCTTGTATGTTGTATATTTTTCATATTGTGGGTATGAACAGGTTTTATGTAAAATACTTTTCTGCATTCATTATTTATTCCACTTTGACTGTAATAAAATATATAAATATAAAAACTTGCTGTATGTTGTTGTTCCACGTTGATTTGAAGCCACTGCGGGAGAAAAGCAATTTCAGGTTTGACCATTCCGTTCCATCTTGCTCACAGAGTTGTTTTGAGTTTTGAAACATTTTATAACAATATCAGATTCAACACAACTCGTCTTTTTGTTTTGGCTTCAGGGGGATTATAAACAGCTGACTCATTTTACTTTGACATGGCTGGAGTTATCATCTTTCCAAGTGGTGAGGGTTATCTCCGCCCTGTGTGGAGCAGCCTGATAAATCAAATGGCTCTTTATGCTTCATCTGCATCACTGTGAGATTAGTGAGTACATTCACAGTCTCAGTCTTTATCCAGAGGTATCTCATGTTGGAGAGGAAGCAGTTGCCTCTGGACTAGTATCTGGACACATGTATGCAGTTGGAGGAGTTGGAATCATAACCTAGAGCCTGTCGGTGAGTGGCAGTGTAGCTGAGCAGGGATCAGTGGTTGAGGTCGTATTTAAAGGGACTGTGAGAGAATGGGCTGTGATTGGTGGGTGACTGACGAGCACCCATAAACCTATCRGTAGCTGAGCACATGACTCTGTGTCCTGCATGAACTAACACAATGCTTCATAAAGTGTAAATAAGCAAACACAAATACAAACTGTTAAAAATATGTTGAGAACAGCATTTTGGAGAAGTGTTCCCTGGGCTGTTAGAGAATATACCTCTTCTTTATTACATTAGTATTCTTTACTCATCTCTCACTGTCCACTTGATTCAACTCATGTAATGTTAGTAATGGGCTCGTTTTGCCTTGAGCAAAACTACATTGACAGGAGTGAGCTGGTCTTGTGTTCCTGGAGTGAATGAGAGCAGTAGAACACTACAGGAACCATCCAGCATGGGTGTTATAGCATGCTGGGGGTGGATGGGCTGAGACAATGTTGTTGTGTTAGGACACATTATTTTACTTGTCACTCTACCATTAGTATTTCAATTCTATTTAATTTTATTTGTATAGCACCAAATCATGATATACATTATCTCAAGGCACTTATAGATACAGAGATATTTCAGCTCTTATTTATTATTGTAGGTGCAGTTGCTGTCGAAAAGATGGATTTTGCTACCATGTGCTCCTGATGTGCAGTCCACCACTTCTTAAAGGACCACTGTGCAAACCGAAGCCTGTGTTTAAAGTGAAATGTACTTTATTGCCTAGAAAGGGTCCTATCTACGTGAGAAGACCTGGAAGTGTTGTAGTGATTACCAAAGTACGAGCTGTCTCAAGAATGATAGGGGATGGAGTTTCACTGCTTCCTACCGTATCTCCTTTAGCAGAGGAAACACTGCACCATATTTTATGAAGGGAGAGGAGAAAATGTATCCCCATAATTCATAGTTGCACCTAGACAGACACCTAAATATATAATATATTATAATATATATAATAATGTTCTTGTGACACGACCCAGAACAGATGTGAATCCTCACATGATCTTCTGAGCTCCATTTGTCCAGCCAGGAGTCACAGTGAACATAATGAACTTATAGTTCACAACATCATCATCAGAGCTAAATAGAAATATAAATATATCTTCACATCTAAATACAAAAATCTGAAGAATATATTAAAACAAATATAAAGGTAATTTCAATCCCCCTATTGTGAAATGTGCAAAAGAAAAAATCTCCATTTAACAAACATATAAGAAGGTCAAAAGCACAAAACCATTATTTACTCTGGCCCATTGCTCAATTTTATTCTGTTATTATTTTAATGGATTAACTTTATCTACCTTTATATTAATCATGTTCTTATATATTTCAACCTTTCTGTTCTGTTAGTTTTGTTTTCATTTTCAGTAAAGTCTATTTGGTTGTTTCAGCCTGTGAGTAAGTGATGGTTACATGTTCTCTATTCCTGGAAGAGAAGGAAGAGCATAACACATACAGACAAAACTCAATGCAAAGCTGTGGCTAATGTTAGCATGCTATATAATAATCAATGTGAATAAGAAATTTGCCTGTTCACTTGAAACTTACTGTGATATTCTGCCGAAGAAATTAAATGATAATTCATTTAACATTTCGTATTCTAGAATAACTAAACAATTAGCCATCTAGAATCTTTTATTTTCCTGCCAGTCAAACCCACTGAATTCAGTTTCCCTCCCAGAATATAATGTGTTTCAAACTAGTGAAAAATAAAAGCGTAATCAGGCAGAAAGGTGTTTCTGGCCTTTTGACCCACCACATAGTAACAGCTGTTTGTGGTCACCTTGATAAGGCGGAGGGGAGAGCTCTCTCCTTGTGGCTGCTTGCGTCACAGTCGGATAATATTATTCACTCCCATTCCTTCCCATGCAGGGCTGCTCCAACAAAGCTTCCTCTCACATCTGATTCTCATGGCCATGCTGTTGTTGTCAAACCAAAGGGGTAAATGTTAGACTGGCAACATTTTGCAAATAATATTTTTGGTTAGGAGCAGCAGATCTACAGTGAGCTTAGCAACATTTCAATCTTCTGTCGTCACAAGTCGTCAGAGCTCGCCTCTTTGTTTCAACTATTTCTCGCAAGTCTCAGAAAAGTATGGATGTACCTTTCAGACTTCCACTGTCTTGCATTGTGACCAGTGAGCAAGTCTAGTATTAGAAATAATGCACCTTTGCTTTCAGGTCAATGCTATTAATGGACATTGACTCACCCGCAGTTTAAAAACTATGGTTGTGGGATGATAAGTTCTAGAGATCACTCTCCTTCGCTCAATTTATGATCTGTATCAGCATCACTCATCATTTCTCAGAGTCCTCCAAACTGAAAAACTGTTACAAATATTGGATTGTGTACTGATCTTCCATCTGCAGGGGGAACTGGACAAAAAGGAGCTGTGGGCAATTTCAACACATTATTATAGAAATAACTCATCAAAACCCCACTTAGATAATTTGATGTGTTTGACTGTTGCACCAACATGACTTGACTTCACTTTTGGGAGCTGTCATTGCATCCATCTTTATATGCGGGGCTAGCTTTGCCTCTGGCTAAGGTGCATGTACTGTAGATGCTACATTACAAGGGAGTTTTGACGTCATGTCAAATAACCAGCATGTGTATAATCCATTTAGAAAGTGCACTTTACTTTGTGTATGTATATATCTTTTTATATATGTATATATACACACAATATAGGGGAGTGGGGGTAATGATTGGTAGGGGCCAAACCCAGGGTCTTTTTATCATGCTTAGTGCAGCACTTGCACTACTACTGTATTTTGATGTCGGTGATGTAAGTACCACTTAGAAAGCTAAAGTTAATACTGCAGTACATGTACACGATGTGTGTAAAGCACCAGATTGTTTCTGCTTGGTGCACAAACACAGACTCCACAGACTGTGAACAGGTCCACCTGTACAGTTCAGTGCCGCTGTCTCTCCGTCAAGGCTGCTGAGGGGTCTGGATGCTTCCTTTCCTGCGGTCATATCAGCAGGGTCACATCTGCAGCACAGCAGCTGCAAACACACAACACAACACAAGTTACAGCCAGCACTCAATCTGGACCAATAACACATGTTGTGGATACATTAACAAAAGAGCTGACAACCGAGAAGACATGAACCAATACTTTGGGCAAAACACAAAAAGTAGGTAGAGCATTCAGCTACCAGGCTCCTCTCCTGTGGAACCAGTTCAAGAGACAGACACCATCTCTGTATTTAAAGTAAAACTAAAAACGTTTCTCTTCTTACAGTTAGTGCTACATCAGGTGAGTCCTGAACCACCCCTTAGTTATCCTGCTATAGGTCTAGACTACAGGGGGAACTCCCATCATGCACGGCAACACTACTCCCTTTCCCTCTCTCTGTCTCTGTGTCTTATTGTACTTCAGGTCACTAACTTTGAGTTGTTTAAACTCCATCTCTCTCTCTGCAGGATTCAGATGACAGCAATGTGTGCTGGGAAACAGTGGGAAAAGACAGTGTTTCATTTCAGTATTAACATGTGATCTGTATCTGACATCTGATATGACTTGATCATGATATGACAAATTGTGTAAATATGATGATGCTTCTCAGGTCAACAGAAGGGATGTGGGAAACTCACGGAGCTAAAGGTCAGATGTAAACGTCTTCATTCCAACAATGGTTGCCTCGGCCATGTCTCAGACCTTGCCTTCCATATGACCCCTGACTGTCATGCAATAATTTCTTAATTCACCCACTTTTGAAGAAATGTATGTACACTTTTTGGAAACAAGACACTGGCAGCAACAATCACTGAGTGGGCCCCTTTACTCCAGCACCCAGCACGTATTTTCTTACAGATACGTATGCCTAATTATCCTTGTGACGGTATTGTTGTTTTCTAATGACTGCCTGTCTCTGTGTGGCTGTATTCATAATGTAAATTCATTTATTCTGAGCATTTCTGTCATGGGAATTTCTAGAAAACAAAATACTTACAACCACAGTTGCTTGGACACCTGTAGTGCATACGTCACATGACATGCCTACCTTTTATGGCATGAGGCCAAGTTCAAACGGGACATGAGTGAGCACTAGATTATATGGCTGTGATTTAAATAGAATCGAATAGAAATAGTAATAGACCAACAGGTGCTATATTTTCCCGATTTCCAATTATGAAATGTTTCAAGTGTGTGTCTATGGAGGAGTCGATGGAACTAAATTGAATGGTCTTAGTTGTCATAAGCTGCTTTCAGACATGCAAAAACAAAAACACTATTGTAGATGAATGAGATAGATAAAGTATGTATTCATAAACACACACTATACATATATACATATATATATTTATATATATATATATATTGTTGTCCTGTATGGTATAGTATTAGTAGTAGAGAGGCCCATGACACAGGGACCAATAACAAAGTTTTTATACAAGTCAGTCAGGGTGTGTAAGTGCCAGCAATGTAATAAAATACAGTGAAACAGC